TGGGTCATGGACCAGCCCAACAACACTTAAAAAAAGTCAAGGAGCAAGTAGAAAATTTGGGCTCATTTTTATTTAATGAGGCCCAAATTTTACTAATAGCCCAGAACATTATGCCTTCCTCTAATACATTAGACCCAATATTGGTGGAAATAGAGGCAAACACTTCTACTCCTGATATTTCTCCAATCTCTGCAGAATCAGTAAACAAAGAGAGAGAAACTGCTCCATCTCAACTTCAGTCACTTAATCAGATGGTCATTCACGAAGAGGCTGATGATTTTGAAGATGCTATGACCAACATTGAAGGTGAGGCCACTCAATTTGAGGCGGGGGAAGATAGAAGCAACATGCAAATGTTTGATACAACAGAGACTAATCTTTGGTCTGTTGAGGAGGCAGAACCTTTAAAGATACATGTGCAAGAAGAGGAGATAGAGGGGGAGATGGATGCATCTTTATGGGTCCATCAAAACATTTTGAAACTTAGCAAGCAATTTGGAGTTGAATTTCAAGGATGCGAAAAGGAAGCTTTGGCCCTATTCATGAAAATTGACAGATGCAGGCAAAATAAGAGACAACAAGCAGAAGTCAGTAACATGGAGATTCCCAAGAGAAAATGCAATAATGAGCTCAAAGATTTGATCTCTGACATGAAATTCAAAAGCACTGGGGCAAGGAACAGGGGGAAAGAAACCTTAATTGTGGATCCATGAATATCAAGATTATTTCTTGGAATGTGAGGGGATTGAACCGTAGAAAGAAGAGGAGGGTGGTGGGTAGTCTGATTACCAAATGGAAAGCCGATATTTTCTGCTTCCAGGAGACAAAATTAGAAGGAGATATAGAAGAGGTGGTTTACCAACTATGGGGTAACAGGGGAATTAGGTTTATGCAATTGGAGGCTAGTGGTACTAGAGGGGGTATCTTAATGTTATGGGATAGTAGAGTATGGAAGGGGGAGGTGATAACTACAGGCTCTTATTCTCTAACCTGCAGGTTTGAGTCACAAACCCAAGATTTTAGCTGGCATATGACAGGGGTATATGCTCCAAATTGTGATATAGAAAGGCAGAAAGTGTGGTGGGAGATTGGGGCTGTAAGGGGTCTCTTTCTTGGACCCTGGGTGGTTGCCGGAGATTTCAACATAATTAGATTTCCCTCTGAAAAAAGAAATTGCACTAGATTCACTAAAGCAATGATAGAATTTTCAGATTTTATTGAGGATATGGAGCTGATTGACCCTCAGATGGAAGGGGGAAATTACACATGGGCCAGCGGGAGCACACAAGAGACATCCTCTAGAATTGATAGATTTCTCATATCAGTGGAATGGAGTGAGTGTTTCAGGAACATCAGGCAGGAGATTCTTCCTAGAGTTTGCTCAGATCACACCCCTTTAGTCTTGCAATGTGGGAATTGGGAGCAAACTAAATCCTATTTCAAGTTTGAAAATTGGTGGCCGGAGACTGCAGGTTTCACTGCCAGAGTTCAAGATTGGTGGACTTCTCTTGAGATAGAAGGAAGACCCGACTATATCCTTGCCTGCAAACTTAAAGCTCTTAAAGGAAAGCTGAAAGAGTGGAGTCTTAGTAGCTATGGCAATCTGGAGAGGGAGAAAGCTGTTATACTGAATCAAATAACTAAACTGGATGCTATTCAGCAACAAAGGGACCTAAATCAGGAGGAAAGAGCCAAGAAAGCTAGACTCTTCATGGAATTTGAAGAGTATGCCATAAAGGAAGAAATAGCATGGAGGCAAAGATCCAGAGTATTATGGCTCAAACAGGGAGACAAGAACACTAAGTTTTTCCAAAAAATCGCTAATGCGCATAAGAGGAACAATACTATTGACAACCTGATAGTGGAAGGGCAGATCATTGAAGAGCCTGAAGCTATTAAAAAAGAGATTACTGACTTTTATCTTAAGTTGTATTCAGAGACTGAGGGTTGGAGACCTACCTGCAGCATGACCAATTGCCCTACAATCTCCGAAGAAGAACAACAAGCTTTGCAGAATCATTTTGAAGAAGAAGAGGTCTTACACTGTTTGAAATTGTGTGCAATAGACAAAGCCCCTGGACCAGATGGGTACACTATGGGATTCTTCATCAAATGCTGGGAGGTGGTGAAGACAGACATCATGGCAACTATTCAGAACTTCCATTCTCAGGAGATGTTTGAGAAAAGCTTTAATGCAACCTATGTGACTCTGATTCCTAAAAAGAATGGAGCAAAGGAGCTAAGAGATTTCAGGCCTATTAGCTTAATAGGAAGCATATACAAGTTGATTTCTAAAATTCTCACTGAAAGACTTAAGAAAGTGATGCACAAACTAGTTGACTCACACCAGATGGCTTTCATTAAAGGGAGACAAATCACAGATGCTGTATTGATTGCTAATGAATGTATACACTCTAGGATTAAGGAGAAGGAGCCAGGAATAATGTGCAAGCTAGTTATCGAGAAAGCGTATGATCATGTCAATTGGAATTTCCTCCTGGGAATTCTCCACAAGATGGGGTTTGGAAGGAAGTGGATCAGTTGGATGAAATAATGTATTAGTACTGTTAGGTTCTCTATTTTGATTAATGGATCTCCAGTAGGGTTTTTCCCTTCTCAAAGGGGCTTGAGACAAGGTGACCCCCTTTCACCTTTCCTTTTCATACTAGCTATGGAAGGTTTGAACAATATGTTGAAGACTGCTCACTATAATGGGTGGATTAAGGGATTCAACGTAGCAAATAATCAAGATGAGAGGTTAGAAATAACTCACTTACAATATGCAGATGATACCCTTATTTTTTGTGGAACAGAAGAGAGTCAAGTAAAGTACCTCAGGATTATCCTCATCCTCTTTGAAGCTGTCTCTGGTCTTCACATTAACTGGAGAAAAAGTCAGATTTTCCCAGTTAATGAGGTGCCTAATATTCAGATGCTGGCAAACATCTTGGGAGGAGAAATAGGCACAACTCCAACTATCTATCTGGGAATGCCTTTGGGAGCAAAAAGCAAATCCAAAGAAATTTGGAATGGAGTTTTGGAAAGATGTGAGAAAAAGCTAGCTAGATGGAAAACACAGTATATCTCTTTGGGAGGTAGACTAGTACTTATTAACTCTGTGCTAGATGCTCTCCCTACCTACATGATGTCTTTATTTCCTCTACCTGCAAGTGTAGAAAATAGATTGGAAACTCTGAGAAGGAACTTTTTATGGCATGGAAATAAAGAAAAAAAAGGATTTCACCTAGTTAACTGGAAGAAGCTGACTATTAGTAAACGAGAAGGTGGATTAGGAATCAAAAACCTTAGGAAGCAGAACAAATGTCTGTTGATGAAGTGGTTATGGAGGTTTCCTAAGGAAGAACAAACACTATGGGGCAAGGTGATAAAGGCAAAATATGGAAAAGAAGGGTTTTGGATGACCAAAGAGGTGAAGAACCCTTATGGAATTAGTCTATGGAGATCAATCCGGAACTTATGGCCAAACCTTTTTCATGACTTAAGTCTTAATGTGAGGGATGGAAGGAAAACGTTATTTTGGGAGGACAACTGGTTAGGAATTGGAAGTTTGAAGAATTTGTTCCCTGATATTTTACTTTGAATCAGCAACAAGGGGCAACAGTTAAGGAGGTATGGGGTATTGAAGGATGGAACTTGACATTCAGAAGATTGTTACAAGACTGGGAACTAACAACAATAACTGAATTTTACAATACTTTGGAGCAATGCAGAGGATTACAAGAAGGGGAAGACACTTTAGTATGGCAGAAACATAGCAACGGGAGGTTTACAATAGGATCAGCATATAAAAATCTGAATCGGGTAGGATCTCAACTCAGCCTATGGCCTTGGAAGCATATCTGGAAAGTCAAAATACCATATAAAGTGGCATGCTTTACTTGGTTGGTGGCTAAAGAAGCAGTACTCACTCAAGAAAACCTCATGAAAAGAGGTTTATCAATCTGCTCTAGATGTTATTTGTGTGGCCAAGATGCAGAGACAATTAGCCATCTGTTTCTACATTGTAGAGTGACAAGACAGCTGTGGGAGTTGTTCATTAACATCAGGGGCATCCGATGGACAATGCCAGGAAGAACCTATGAACTTTTGTCTAGCTGGAACACGGGGGGAGCTCTACATCTAACAAAGATAGATGGAAAATTGTCCCAGCAGCCATTTGGTGGACAATTTGGAAGGAGAGGAATGCAAGGTGTTTTGAAGATATAAGTAGCCCTGTACAGAAGATCAAAATGAATTCTATTCTTCTTTTTAGTTTTTGGTGTAAAGCAGAATATATAAATGACCAGGATTCAATCATAGAAGTCTTAGGCTCCTTGTAAGAACAAGGAAGTTTAATTTTGTTTTGTCCTAGCTCTTCTTGATGTAATCTTGGTTCCAGTACAAAATTTGTGCTGATGATTTATTAATATATTGGATCTGTTACCATCTAAAAAAAAAAATGATTTTCTTTTGGAACCAAAAGTGAACCAGCACTAATTATTTGCACTGATATTGGGGTAAGTGCAAAGATTTGCTTGATTTTCAGCAGTAAGCTGATGTCAAAGTATTCAACACCTTGTGTCTTTGGAAGGGATTATTCAATACCTCGTGTTTTGAAGATGAATTATCCAACTTCCTCTTCTAGGATTCCGATGTTAAAGATGAAAAGTTTTCTAGGCTTCTATGCTTATATTTTTATCTTTGTTTCCTTTTTGTGTGAAGCTTTTGATAGCTGAAATAGGAAGATAACTAGATAAACTAACTGGCGTTTTAGTTTCTTAGTTCTAACAAAAAATATTGAGCTTTACTTAGTTCCCTAGCATACTGCCTCTTCTGTTATATAACCAAAAAAGCTAGTTTCCTTTTTATCTTTCAGTTTCCCTTTCATCTTTCTGCTCCTTTTGAACATAGCTTTTGCTGTAATACACTGCTGCAAGGATGCCACATTCACTCTCCCTTTTTTTTTTCTTTCCCCCCCTTTTCTCTTATGTTCCTACAAAGTTGCTGCTAATGTTTGTTGTCTAAAAACCTATGGTGCCGCCTTCTTTCAGGACGCTAAGGCCCTATCCGATATCAAAAAAGCGTCTTGTACCTGATCATATCGATCAACCTGATTGGGCAAATGATGTGAGTCATTTTATCTTATTTCTGTATATTGCAAGTATTAGTCAGTCATACGCATGCGCGCACACGCACATGCTCCATATTTTTGCTATCTCTTATGGAGCTGAATAGCTAAAAATGTTGACAATTGCTTCTATTAATTTGCTTATCATAAGGAGCTTATGTGGTTAATATTGCATGTTTTTCTCGTTCTGAAGATTAACGATAGAAAATATGTTATGCAGTTTATTTTGTTTGTCTTATTTTGTAGGGTATCCCAAAAATTGAACCCAATAGTGATTTACAGCATGTCGTTGAGGTACCATTTACGTTTAGTAATGATTTGCAGCTATATTAGATGTTTGTGCGGTAACAAATTAAATTTTTGCTCACACCACCTGCTTCTGCTCTAAACAATTTGAAGATCAAAACTCCAGAGCTGATTGCGAGGATGAGAGAAACATGCCGAGTAAGTATTATCAGTTTATGTTTTCTGATTATGTTCTACGAATAAATTATCTTCTTAATTAGTCTTGTCATAATTCAATATTTTCATTGTCTGTGAAGCATAGCCGTTTATTATACAATAGCTATGCCATGCATTTGCCTGTCCTTTATTGAATACCACGTACTAGTCTTTTTCTAAGTACCTTCCACTACTTCTTCATCATAATGTCTCAGGACAGTAAATGAGTTGTGAAGTTAATATGTGTATATTCTTGGAGGGTTGATGATTCTTGCCATTGTTTAGAGTATTGATGTGGTTTAGAAAGAAACTTCTAAGGGACTTCTAGGAATGTGTGATGTTACATTTAAGATTCTAGCAACTAAAGGGGAGGAAAATAACACTGAGGAAATATGTGAATGGAGAATGGAGTGTCAGCAGACCAGCAAGAAAAAATGCATACATTGTGCCTTGTAATTTTTTTGTTAATACATGCAATTGCTTCCTCAAGACTTATGTGAGATCTGAGTGAGATTGAAGCCTAGAAGGTATGTGTTCACATATATTTTAGAGATCAGAAAGAAACCAAGTTAGGAAGGTAAGATGCTCTATAATGAGGCGTTAGATCTCATTCGGCGTTAGATTTCATTCTATGACAGGATACTTTCAAGCTATGATAGGTGAAATTTTGATGGATTAACCAATAACTGGAATCAAGGTCCTGAGTATATTTCTATGACTTGGGCTGTCTCCTTCCTGCAGCAGTGCTTTTGGATAGTATCTTTTGATTGGGTTTATAAGCACCTAAGGGGCGTGGGGTTTCCATAACAGATAACTAACATCAGTGGTTACGGGAATGTTGACGTATTTGTATATCCATCATCGTCTAATAATTGAGAGCACTCAATTCAATCACATCCCAAGCAAAAAAAGGGAGTGGTTACACTCTCTTGCAAAAACATGCAATAACCTTGATGCTCGCTAAAAGCAGTATTAGGCTAGAACTGATAGTCGTCCCACTAAGAGTAAACCAGGGGCACCAACCTCATTTACAGAAATCTTATATTTCATTCCATTTACTTATCCTACTATCCTCTATCGGGCTGAATATGATGGATGGTTAGTGTTCCTAAGGCTATAAAGTTAACATGCCGTGCAGCTTTGGCAAAGAACCATGGTCTAAGCATGTTCATTGGTTCTTCGCCAGTCTTTAGGATGCATAATTGGTTTTATTATCTTCAAGACCGAAATCTTCACCAGAACAATGATTCTTATAATATCTGTGCGTCATACAATGATTCTAAGCTTTCTTGGTTGAGAGATGGTGAGGGACAAATATTTGGCAATACTTTGCTCCTTCAACTTTATTGCATTTCTTGAAGTACTTGTTTATTTATATCCTACCTTCAGATAGCAAGGGAAGTTCTGGATGCAGCGGCTCGTATTATTCGGCCTGGCGTGACAACTGATGAAATTGATGCGGTGGTGCATGAGGCTACTGTTGCCGCTGGTATGCTGATAGGGCTCTGATTATTTTAATCACTTCTAGTAGTTGCAATTGGTTGTGGAGGCCATTCCATACTTGTTAGATTTTATTAGATTTCAGGCTTTAGTGAAGTTTGTGTTAAAGCACAACCACTTATTTCCTCTTGACTTGCACAGTCACTTTTTTTGTGCATATTACACATTTTACTTGTACTGGTTTTTTTTAATACTTGGTAGAAGGTGATGTTTCCTTTGCTCCCCAAATTGATACTCGACATGGTCTGAGCTCTTGGTTCCCCAAAAAAAGAAATGTTCCTGGTTCCATAAGACACTTATTCCTTGCGCTTGTATTTCAGTATGATGCTCTCTGCTAAGTTAGATTGTAGGAAAATCATCCTAGCTGAAGTTTGTTGGCTTCATATTTATCAATAACAGTGCTTAGCAAATCCTGTTCTTAAAGAAATTGCTTTATATTGGATCACCTGTTCTTCTAATATGTGGAGCTGCTGTTTAACTCTTTCTTTTGGTGGCATATGCAGGTGCATATCCATCTCCGTTGAATTATCACTTTTTCCCCAAGTCATGCTGCACGTAGGTACTTTATCTTGTAAATGTTCTTTATGCACTGTTATGCAGGTTCTAGAATTTACTTAAAGATGGAATTCTGTCTGCTTGTTGCAGGTCAGTCAATGAAGTTATCTGCCATGGGATTCCAGATGCAAGGTTAGTGTTACATTAAGCACCGAACTAGTTCTCATTTGCATTTCATGTCTCCTGCCCACTTTGTTTTCGGGTGAGGGAGAGGGGAGTATGTTTTTACCAAGTTACCTTTTTTTGAAAGATTAGTCATGATTTAACTACTGATGAGTCTTGGCAGTCTGTCTTTTCTCAATTTTCACCTGCGCCTGAGCTCTTTCCTTGGTGGATGTTACCATGGCATATGTGTTTACTAGATGCGTGGTTTTGAATAGAAAAGATGTATTTTTCTGATAAAAAGTTGTTTAGGCTGTGTGTCATTTGTCACTTCTAATTGTTTCAGGAAATTAGAGGATGGTGATATTGTAAATGTTGATGTTACTGTATATTACAAAGGGGTTCATGGTAAACCATTTTTTACCATTGATCTATTTGATAATTTTTTCACTTCTTGCAGATTTCATATTTAACTAGTGCATTGCTGATTATGCAGGTGATCTGAATGAAACCTTCTTTGTTGGTAATGTTGATGAAGCATCTCAACGGTTAGTCCAGTGCACATATGAGTGTTTGGAGAAAGCAATATCAATTGGTAGGTTGCATTACTGTATGTTATGCCTTGAATACTTGATATATCATAGGCTTTACCGTTCCACGAACATCAAACTTGCTGCCTTTGATTCCTGAAGTAAAAGGTCTTTAAGGCAAGTCTAATAGTTTGCAAAAACAAATATAGTAAGTATGACTTGTCAATTAGACTCGTTAAATATGTTCTATCCCCTTCTATTCTTTTTGCTATTTTGGCCAGTTGTTTGCTCTTTGGGTCTGTCCATAGCAGCTTTTCTCTTTTGCTTGCACCTGCTCTGTATATATGTACCCGAGTCTCAAATGGTCTTGCTGAGAAATTTCTGTTCAATATGTTCTTAAAGAGTTTGGGAAGTGAAGTTAATGTGCAAGAGTGTGCTAGTAAAACATGTTGCCTGTTGGGAGTATGTTTTGGTTCATCTTGGCTTAGAATGTTGATCAAAACTCTAGGTGTCTCACTTTTTTCGTATGCCATTTTATTGCAGTTAAGCCTGGGGTACGGTTTCGGGAAATTGGGGAGGTCATCAATCGACATGCTTCAATGTCTGGCTTATCTGTGGTAAGATCAAACAAATGATAGTTTGCCTTACTACCCCATCAGGTGGATTAGTGAAGCTCGGTTTTGTTGGAAGTTGACATGTTTTACATGTTCTCATTTTCTTCTTGCAAACTGGGGTGACAGGTGAAGTCATATTGTGGTCATGGCATTGGAGAACTTTTCCATTGCGCACCAAACATTCCACATTATTCAAGTATCCTTAACAATGTCTTTTTAGCATTTTATGATTTATCAAAAAAGGTCGCCTTTTAACATTTAAATCTTTGTTTTGTCATGTGGTGAATGTAAATGCATCAAATATTTCCTGCAGCTTCTAGCACAATAATGACTGCAGTATTGATTTAACGTAATATTTTCAAATATTATCCAATTAGCACCTCTGAGATTGTGGCAATCGAAGTTGATCTTGCTTTACTACTGTCTATTTTCCCTTTGGTGTTACCTTAACCTGATCAGGAAACAAAGCAGTTGGCGTTATGAAAGCTGGCCAAACTTTTACAATTGAACCTATGATTAATGCTGGTGAGTTCTTCAGTTCTAAATTTATTATGTACTATTCGATATGAAATATCTTTTCCTTGTGTCTTGATTAATTCTATTGCAGGTGTTTGGCGTGATCGCATGTGGCCTGATGGATGGACTGCTGTGACAGCAGATGGGAAACGAAGTGCTCAGTTTGAACACACTCTCCTGGTATTACTTCAGTTTACATCCTTTTTGGTATACGAATGATTTAATGCTAGCTTTTCTTTATTGCGTGCTGTTTCAGATTGATTTGAGATTACTTGGTTTTGATGAATTGTTTGTTGCTGCTGAACACTGTATTTAATTACAGAAAACTCTTTCTCGTATCTATTTTTTTTAATTAAACAATTGGGAAAAGATAAAATACTGGACCCAAAGATATCCAATATATTTGGTACATCAAGCCATGATATGAAAGAAACTCTGTAAAATCTACACTTGTCATTAATACCAGTGTTCTTCTACTTGGTAGAATCTGCAAAACTGACATAGATGCTTGGTTGAACCGCAATACTTATGTTTTGTAAGACATTGGTTTGTTATTCACTTCTGCATTAAATCATGGAAAGTTATTCAAATCACAATGTATTGACTTGCATGAAAGCAACCTATCATGAGCCATAAGGTCAGCCTTGTAATTTTCTTTTTATTTTCTGGGGTTTGGGGAGGGGAGGGGGACTAATGTTTCCGTGGCCTATATTTTCTTTTGTAAAGGCTTCTTTTAGGAGGTGTGCATTCGGTCGGTTTTGGTTATATTCAGTTTGATTTTTCAGTTGGTAGGTAGGCAAAGCGATTACCGAACTTAATAGGGTTGAATAGGTTTTTTTTCGTTTGCCTTTCTCTATATAGGTCAATTTTTAGTTCCTGCGTCAAATTACAAAATCTTCCTTTAAATTTGTAGAAATTAATTACCATACTCTTGCCAACCATAATTATCATACAGTATTTAAAAGATAAATCCAGAATAAGCCTAAGAAAGAACTAGAAAAAAAGATTTAAGTAAGATCTCATAATTTTTTGGTTTTAGTTTTTTATTTTCAACTTAAACAAACAAATAAAATACCCCTGTATTGTGAAATGAAAATTGTAATTGACTGAAATGTTGAAACCTGAAAAGAAAAGAAAATGGGAATTTCAGTTTGGTTGGCCTTTTCAGTTAAAACTAAATAAAGCACACGCCTACCTCCTAAGGAGAGGATACATGGGTTGACCTTTTGATGAAATCCATGTGCTCGTACCCTAAGATGATGAAGAAAAATGTAAAATGACAGCCTCCACAAATGTGTCCCACATAGGACATGTTAATGAGCAGAGTCGAGTCTAAATTTGGCTTGGCTGAATAATGTTGACCAATGGCTCTATATTCAAACTCAATGTGAGAGCTCAGCAAGGTCGTGTGCAAATCTGTGTACTGAAGGCTTTAACTTATAAATCCCAAGCAATCAGAAATTTTCAAATTCTAGTCACCACCCAGGATAGACTAATAGATCAGATGTGAAGGAAAGGATTGTCAGAACTAATTGGTGGATATTATGGTGTTTCGGCCAACTTGCGTGTCCCTCAACTAATCCGTCACACACTTACTACCTTTCACTAGCACAAGTGTCAGGTAGGTTCATCAAGGCTTGAGCAGGGTGCGGGGTACCACTGGGTACTTGTTACAACTCTGAGCCACAAGGTTTAGGCAAATGGGAAGAATTCACCTTGTGTTGCTCCTGTTGGGGTTCGAACTTTGGTTCCAAGATTGTCACTCTAGCTCTTCAACCGCTAGGTCAACGCCTTAGAGGCCAAAAAAGTTGTCAGATTGAAAGTGAAATTAATCAGAATCAAACTTTCCCCCACCAGATTAGAGAATTATGAGACATTTACTGGTCTTCTAGTATGACAAAGGAAACAATAAGATCTGCTCATTCAAATAGAAAATTTTCCTAAACAACATCAATATTAGTATGTCTGCACTTGAAGTTATCAACTAGAAAAGACTGAAATGATACATGCTTGTATACAAGAACTTGGCATCAAGAGGTGAGAACTGAGAGGAATGCCGGATTAACCTTTATCAAGGCTATTTCTATCTAGAAACACCAAAGTTTATGTTGGTAAACTTCAATGAAGCAGAACCAAGCTTGGTGGAACTATTGGATTTCTTTCTGCGTCTCACTATCAGAAAACGTTCATATATGCACGCTAGTTAAAGATGTCAGAGAATTGCTTAGTAATTTTGCTTCGTTCGGGTTGATTGAAGTGTGTTTCTGGTGATGGATAATTTGTAGGTCACAGAGACTGGAGTTGAAGTACTCACAGCACGCCTGCCGACATCTCCCAAAGTGTTCCCTTGGCTGAGTTCTTGATTCGTGGTTTGCATTTAGCAATTGAGGATCCAGCCAGTCATCAAAAATTTCAGTGACAAGTTAATCTATTTATGTGTGTCAAATGTATTTTTTAATTGATTGGCTTTTGAAATTTTGGTCTTAAATCTCGTCCAGTTTGCAGACAGAATCATAGGGTAAACTAGATGAACGAATCAGTCTTTTCTCGAGTCAAATGCTATAATGAAGCTGAAGCTTTTGGATATCTGATTTCGTATTAGATTAAGCTCTATATAAGGGGCTTGCTCGGTTTGCCGTTAAGAAAGAACAATTCCATTAGATAGCGTTTTGTATAATTAATATAATGTTTGTTTTTAGGTATAATACTTTGAATTACTAAGTAGATTCTATATAATGAAGACAGCCTTTGGTTTTTATAGAAATCTTCATATCAATGATTGGCTGTGGCCTGTGGGCATAAAATTTTGCATTACAAGTATCATTAAAGTGTATGCGTGAATCTTTTGTGTTACTATATAGTGAATAAATGTGAAACAAATATAGGTGCATTAGGCAATACTTATCCAAGAGCACGTAAACTGGAAAAATACTTCTAGAGTTGATCCTTTACTTTGATATTGCTACTTCAATATTATATTTCATACATAATTAGCTTGTTGCATGCCAGTCTTTGTGTCATTATTCATTGCAAAACGATCGTTTATTAAAAATCATCATATAATAGTTTATGATTATAATTCTTGCATAACTAGTCTTGAACAAAATGACACCTAAAGTTTCTGTGGAAGAATTTTTGAGTCACGACTATCTGTCTATTTCCTAAGGTTACTAAACTTTAGGTGGAGGGTTCTTAATGCAGATCAGCCTATCAACCTTAGGACCGGTTTTACAGTCCTTACGTGTACTTTGATTTCTTTCAATTTCATACGGTGGAAAAATAGCACGGGCTAGTCAGTTTTCGGACTGGTCATTCAAAAATAGTGAGCGTTTACCAAGTCAATGAAAAATAATCACTATTTTGCTGCAACAGAGACCGGTCCAGCATAATATACTGAAGTTCGGTGCACTTGTGTACGAACTTCCAGCATATTATGCTGGAACTCCAACACACGGAAAGTTCCAGCATAATATACTGGAGATTCGAGCACTTGTGTATGAACTTCCAGCATATTATACTGGACCGATATACTTTGCTGGAACTCCAGTATATTATGCTGGAGTTCTAGTGTACTTATGCTGGAACTCCATCATATTATGCTGGAGTTCCAGCATACTTATCCTAGAACTCCAGTATAATATGGTGGAGTTCAAGTATACTTATGCTGGAACTCCAGCATAATATACTGGCGTATTTTCCGGGCTTTGAACAGTGTTTTCGCTCAGATTTATCTTTACATTAAAAGTGGCTAAATTTCGATTACTTTTGAAACTGGGCTATTTTTGAACGACCACTTGTAAATCTGGCTATTCCGTGTGTTGGAGTTCCAGCAAATATACTGGAAGTTCATACACAGGTGCACTGAACTGCAGTATATTATGCTGGACCGGTCTCTGTTGCAGCAAAATAGTGGCTATTATTTATTGACTTGGTAAACGCCGGCTCTTTTATGAATGACCAGTCCGAAAACAGGCTACACCGTGCTATTTTTACACTTTTTTATCCATATGGTAGGATTAGCGATGCTTAGTTAGTATAGCCTGTTTCTCTAAGATTCCATGCACTACACTGGACAGCGCCACTATCCATTGAATGATCGAATATACCTTGGATTTTTTGTCCTAATTAGAAGGATACACCTTTGGGACATTGCTCAGTTCTTGTTTAGGAAAATGGTTAAAATAAACCCTTTTTAGTTGAAAGAAATGGTTGAAATGGATTTCTGTGACCTACTTGGGTACCATCTTGGCCCTTCCCTCCTTGAGTATATCGAAAATTGTTTACGTCAAATCACATAATGTAGGTCAAACGATATATTGAGATTAACTACATTGATTTCAGGTAAACATCGCCGTAAATTATCTTTTAACCACCACTATAATAACGCCCCTACCCTTCCACCTCTTCCGAAAAGTCTGATTTTTAATACAATAGCATATAGCGGCTCGATGTTAATCACTCAACTGTAATTATTCCATGATCAGATCGCCGCTGAAACTCTTTCTTCCAGATTAGGTGATTTTTCAACGTTTTTTATTTTACATTTTGTAATAATAACAGAAACGGGATTTCGTTCGTTGTGAAACAGTGGACTTTGGAAATTTTGAACACTCGGAAGATCAATCTCACCTTGACAATCCAAATGAATTGCACTTGCACACCCGAGTGAGAGGAATACAGCATACTTGAAAAAACAGCAATTACCATATTACCTATTTAGCGAACAATTTCGCAATTTGCAGTAATGTTACAAACCACCCTCAGACGAACTCTACGTTTGCCGACAGTGCTGTTTGAAATACTCAACCAAATAGAGGAAACAAAACCGGAGCAGTAACGACCAACTCTCTGATAGCGCAAGGTTCTGATTCTTAAACGCATCTGACAAGCATTTAGTCCTGCTTTACAATTTTCCACTTTTGAACCATTACCATAGGAGGCACTCTTTCTCGAAATGTAAAACAAGGAAACTAAAACCCAGCTGATCCAACAAGTGAAGAGTATGATGCATTTTCATCACTGGTGAGTCCCTGTTCAACAAATTTGTGGGGTGTTCCAACATTTATTTTCGAAAGTGTCCCAACATCTAGGTTGCACGTCGTGCAGAACTCTAATCTCTTCTGTTTTGCTTCTGCAAAATCACCGTCCCAGCAAGTTTCGGAGATAATCTCAAGTGCTTTCTCTAGTTTGTCTTCTGGTACAAGAGTCCCATTTTGTTGGAGCACTAAATAAACTTGCTCAGCACTGGCTTTTCTTATCTGCAAAAATAGTTGAAAACAATTGTTGAGAAGACGTTCAGTTCATTGTGGCATGTTCTTAATTTATCTATTCACCAATCTTAAGTTTCACTATGCAGCTGCTTTGTGCTACCTTTGGAAATCGGTGGGTGAGGAAAGTTAGTAAATGACAGAATGCCTGGATATTGATGGGCTCTGATACTGATGAAATATATCCAAGTATCTCAATTCCAGCATACAGCTTATAGAAATCTTTTGATCCTTTCAACTCTATACTAAGAGCTTCTAAAACACCGGCACAAAATACTGCAGTCTGGGCCTGTTAAAAGATATGGGTGAGATAGAGAAAGAGAGAGAGATGAGTATAGGCACATCATCCGTACAGTCCCAAGCAAACAGCGATAAGCATAACTTGGTTTGTGCAGAATAAATGCAGTATACACCAGAGCAAATGGAAGATACCAGCTACATGAAATACTGGATATTTAAAATAAAAAGAAAACACCTAGTGGAAAGTAGACTAACCTCTATGTTTAAGAATACCTTTTTGCTGAATAGGATCTCAATTGTCTGAAACAAAACAAAAAAGGTAAACACATCAGTGTCAGATAACATGTTCCACATTGTTGCATAAGAGCTTCCAAATTGGTTTAGCATTATCCTGAGTTATTCCATCCATTGCCTTGAAGTTTTGGGTTGGAAGCTCATTTTATTTGACATGGTATTAGAACCAAAGCCATTCCTAATGTTGGGCCACAGATGTTTTGTTACTCTTCGCTCCAATCGTCCAGTCCTAGACATGCACGGTGGTGTTTGAATGCTGCATAGCTTAGACGTATATGTAGTACTTCTCATATGGCTCTTCTTGTGATTGAGTTAGGCCCAAGGTCCAGTTTCTTAACATGTTATTAGAGCCTAACTTTGGTAAGTTTGTTTTCTCAATTACCTTCTTACTATATATTCTCACTCTAAGTCCCTCTCTCTCTAAGCAAATCGAGCCATTAATTCTGCTCAAAGCCTGATTTTCAGCGTGTTGAACCTACCTCAGGTTTCAACCAATAAAAAGAAATGTCCAGGATACTGCATAGACAGACAAAAATGTAAATTCTCCAGATTTCTGCAAAATAAAATTTTATGATTACGTCTATAGCCTACTGCCTATGCCAAAAAAAGAAGAAGAAACAATTGCTTGCATAAATCATAACAAGAGAATTCTAGAAAGATGAACACATTGTGATCTACAATTTAAGGAAAGGGTCGACAATCATCTTTTGCAGTAATAAAACTTGAAATTGAATTTACCTTCAAAGTGGGTGCTATGACTCTGTCACAATTTTTGTACGTTTGAAGAACCCAAAGAATGTCATTAGAAAGATTGTACTCTCTAGAACCATTTACATTTTCATCTGTTGACTGAAGAAATTCAAGCAAAGCACTGACTGATGCCTTTGTCAATGAATCTTGCAAGCCACCGATGGAAATAACCAACCCCGATATCACATATTTGCTATAGCAACTGATACCAAGCAACTGAAGAAAACGAGGAAATGAGTAAGTAGGTACCTGCAGGATCACACAGAAAGGCTTCTTTGTCAGATAACAAAATTTATAGCAACCAAAACAGAAAGGCCAGCAAAGTTTGACCTACCCCCCATTTCAGATCTGCGTCGTCAGGAACAATCTGTTCTAGTCTCTCTCGATAAGGTATAAATGGTACAAAATTTGATTTATTATGCAAAATTCTTCGAAGAGCCTTTGCAGCTAACTCTCTTAATTTATCCATCCTCTCCACTGCTTGCTTAACAATGCCTCCAACTAAACAGGTTGCCACATCTTCATCAAAGAGAAATTTCATCTGGTTAGCACTATCTTTCTCATCAAATTGAGAAACAGATCCAAGTTCCATTTTCTCCGACTTGCTTGAGAAGCCCTTGAGTTCTCTCTTGCATAGAATGTATGTGCATCTCTCAAGGCCATCTATGGCAGCTTCACGAACCCAAGAACCAATGTCACCTCTGTTATCTACAGAGTAATCGTCCAAAGCTTTAAATAGAGTCTGCATAACCTCATTCTTAATAAAAACATACAGAGATCTGTATTCTTCTGCAGAGAATAGATGAGAATATTCTTCTGACTCGGTCAAAATTTCACACACTGATACAAGTGCTTTGGCAGAATTTACTCGTGCTTCAGCATCTCTGTCTTCAGGTTTAGCCTATACAGTATAAAGTGTTTAATCATTCAAGATAATGTGCAGCTTAGTTCCTCATCAGCAATAGACAAAACAGAAGAGGCACTTCTTTACCTCAATTTCACAAGCAGCACAAAGCTTCCGAAGTATTTCCTTCCATCCTTTAGCTAGAAACTTATATGGCAAAACACCAAGCGCAAGTGAAGATCCTCGTCTAGCAGCCACATTAGGATCAGTCAATTGCTCAAGGTATCTTGATGTAATGGTATTGATGCCTTTACTTTCCGAAGCCACAAGGTAAGCAGGAAAGAAGCTTTTCAAGGCTGCAACCGCAGCCCCCTACAAACACACTAGTGAATCAGGCAATTCACTCAAAGGAAGCTAATCAACAGGAAACTGACAAAGTCACAAGATTAACCTGTATCTGGGAATTAGGATGTCTCAAATTCTCATGGAGTGTATCAAGCAGACTCCGCTTTATTTTATCTGTCAATTGGACACAAGCTAAAGAAATGCACTCAATGAAACGGGAAACAGCAGAACGCATTATTTCTCCACCCTTTCCACGATATAGCCGTGCTTTCTCAATTGCTGGAACCACACCAGCAGCTTGATTCTGCAGATCTGTAACAAAAAGATCGAGAGAGATCACACAATTAGCTATACATGAAAAACACAGAAATAGACGGTGTCATAACCCTTGACCAGCTGATTTTCTCTTCAGCAATTTGAAAAGGACTCGTGGTAATTCAAAATTTTAAAAGACACCCATGTGGTGATTTTATATGTAAAACTATGAAAAAAGAGAACTGCATGTCTTAGAATGTGATCCCCCTTCCAAATTCATTGTCATCTTGGCTTTCCCGCAATAATCCACTTTTCTAAAAACTGAGCAAGAATACTTCCGTTGCTCTTTAATTATTGTGTGTCATTTCTGGGTATTACATAATACAGAAGTATACTGTGCCCCACATTTACACTTAATGAAGACAATAGCTCGCTTCTCTACAATCACACTTAACAAAAGTAGCTACCACCCCCCATAATATTCTTCTGATAACCCCAGAATATTCAATTGGGATATAGGAAAAATGGGTCGACAAAAAAAAACATTAATAGGGAGCAAACAGCTATGACAAGAAATTAGCCCCAAATAGTCCACTTTGAATTCATGATTTCATTTTGATGGTAGGCTAGACATACAAATTTTTGGCTACATTACACCTGTTATTCACTAAACTTTAATTGTGTCTGAGCTCAAATATGGATAATTTATACTCATAACGTGATTTCTGTTGTGTAGGTTGTGCTTCCGAGCTAAGGCGTATTTTTAGAGCTAAAATGAATATACTGGGACTTTGAAGTCTGAGTAGAAGTCCAAAGGTTAAGCTGGGATCGAATTCGGAGGTCAAAAACTGAGTATGCATAGAAAAAAGAAGAAAATAATAACAAAGAGATGAAATAGTGCTTAGCACCTTGTGCAATCCAAGGTGACTAATGAGACCTGCTAATGGAAAAATCATCTTGCAAGAGACAGAAGCTAAAGAAGACAAACACAAAGAATTAGAAAAGGAATGAGATAAGTGAGAGTTAGGCAAGAATCACAAAGAATTGAGCTTTGGATTTAAAATTGCAAAAGCAATAGCGTAAGGCAGCAGAAACAATACAGTGGTGCGACGCGGCAAGAGAAAACAGCAGTAGAGTGAAAATTTCCAAGTTTCTGGAAATCCCCACTAATGTGACGCACAGCGCGTCGCCCAGTGCGGCGCGCCTGTGCAATTTTTCGCCCAGTTAATCCTATTTCGGCTCAAAGAGGGTAACTTTGCCCGGATACACCGGAAACACATTTTTGAAGGGATTTGATTCTTGATATTGTGAAGTCATTTCTTATCTTGCTTAATCGAAAGAGGAGCTTGATATTGAATTTCTTTACATCTTATGCTCTAGTTTAAATTCGTGATTCAAATAGGTGATCGAAAGAGCCTCTTGAATTGTTAATCGAACTAGAAAATAGGGAAATCTTCGTGAGAAGTTACCCTCTAGACCATAACCATCATTTTATTCGTTGCAATTGTTTACCGTGCTTCAATTGGATTAATTATTGAAATTAACGTTTAATTGAAAGAGGAACATTAACTTCAAGTGTAATCTAATTATCTGATGAATTCGTGGGAATCAACAGTATTATACAGTGAACTAACTCAAGAATTGGATCCCGAGTCAATTATCTTGCACACGTCTAGTCAATTACCATTATTTCTCTCATTGATATTTCTTTGTTGCTCATCTGCTATCTTTTGTGATCAATTGTTAATTGATTAATGTTTAGTAGTTAATCGAAGTTGATAATCATTAAATCAAGTGTTAATTGAAGATTATTCGAACACTGTTTAAATCCAATCCCTGTGGAGACGATAATTAAACTATATTATCTTTGACTAGCGAGCAATAATTTTGTGTCGTGTTTTGCGCTCGTCACATTTCACAAAAGAACAGTGGGGAAAAAACATTTCCCCTACAAGTATGGACATATAACACCAAAAGTATGTGGAATATACGTGCAAAAATTAGCACACGTAGTAATTGTTTCTCTTTTTAAACTTAATTTACTTTCTAATGCAGTATAGTTCTAGACTTTCAATAATGATTTATGAGCAAATCTTGCTTTCCGGTAAAATGCAGAACTGTATAACTCATCAAGAGAGAACAAGGAAAGCTAAAATTCATGAATGAAGAGCTAAAGAAAAAAAATGCATTGAAGACCTAATTTTGAAACCAGTAAGAACCAGCTTGATCTTTGACCTCAGTCAAATACTAAGAGTTTGAAGTTGAAAAGGAGATACCAACCTGGGGAAAGAACATAGTCACACTCATGAAGAGCCAATATAACTTCCCCAATAGCTAAAGTTGCACCATGACGCATGCACAAATCAGAAGACAATGTGCAAGGCAATAATTTTCCCACAACAGTACTAGCAAAATGTCCAGGATCATACTTAGCAAGAGAAGAAAGGGCATTTGCAGCAAGCTCTCTCAAACTTTTGTCCTATATTCCAACAATAGGTAACAAATTAACAGAACCCACCAATAATATAACTAATAAGTGCAAGCAAATGAAGTAATTAATGCACAAACAAAGAAGTTAAGTACATTGGCCAGCTGGTACGATATTAGCAGGGGTCTGAGTTCTCAGATTTAGACTGCTATGGATGCATGTCTTAAGTTAAATTGGAGGAGGAAACTAGAGAAATTACAGAAAGAGGATGAATTACACATTTGTGCTAAACGACCCAGTAGTTTGCTTTAATTAAGGCAACACCTTAATTTTCCCAATCCAAAAGATCCTTAAAACAACCTTCTCTGTCAACTATCTTTTCTGAGCACTGTAATTTCGTTGACACGTCAGACATCCTTTTCTAAGGAATCCGGAGTGAAAAATTATGTTCTCAAACATAAAACAATTAAACCAGAAAATGATATTTGTACACAAATTCCCATCATAATTCTATTCATATTCCTTCTATCCTATTTCAGTTCCAAGCTGTGACCAAACTTGTAACAGTACTCTTTTTGCTAAGACCACTAATAGAAACATTGGTGAGGAAGCAGCTATATGCAACCATATCTTTGGTTAATTTGTATTATGCATCTTCCCATACCACACTCAAGCAAACCAATAAATATTTTACAAAAGAAGTGCTTTCTATGAGTTGAAGCAAGGAACCAAGCAAATATAAACATACCCAGTGGCAGATCTTGCTGTTCAGAAGCTCATCAACAAAAGGATAAAGATAGCCATCATATTGAGCAATGTAGACAGCAACATGAAGATAGGAGTTTATACGTGACGAAAGCGCAAAGAAATCAGCTGCATTCACTATATCGATACCATAAGGAAAATTTCCTTGTCGTCCAACATTCTCTTGAAAAGCAGCAGCTGCTGCTCTTCTACAATTAACCTGGGAAATAATACCAATGTTTCATCATTTCAATTGGAAGAAGAAGCACCTTGACCGGGTGTGTTTTTGGTACCTCACGGTCATAGCATGCCACAGTGAGAAGGTGTGGAGCAAGCTGTTCAAGTACGCTTTTCATATCTGCATGGTAATATGCACGGCCAAATGCCCAACAAACGTAAGCAGCAGCATCACGTACATGAGATCCAATGCTATGTGGACCCCTTCGAATGTCATAATGTAATGCCTGCCAAAACAAACTTTCCCTCGTTATTAAGGGGACACAATCCAGCTTCAACGAGCCAAGAGTTTAGTGAGTGGATAATCCGAGACAAGTGCAATCCATTATCCTGAACCAGGTAGTCTGGATTGGATATGTTTCAGTAACTCATTCAAACCAAACCAAGAATATATCGTTACCCGTGCATACTCATTGGTAAACATCAAAAGAGCATGATTTGTGTTCTGGAAGCTAGGATTGGATGATAATATAGAAAATCTAAAAGACGTGTGATTTGAAGGCGAAAAGTGTATGTGCATAAGTACGCAACTCGAGACACAGAAAAACACATGCAAGTACAATAATGACATCTAAAAAAAATAAGTTAAATTGGATCCATAAGCACACAGCAGTCAGCACATATGAGTCCTATGGGAATCTGTGGTTCTGGTTGCCTACAGTTTTCAGCCACCAAACTCTTCATGGGTAAACAAAGGCCCTTTCCTCTCTCTCGTGTATGAAAGTAGGCAGCAGGTCTTATCTGTTGTATTTCTGCAAGAAGAAAGAATGTCTGCTTTTTAAATCCCAGCAGCGGGAAAACCCCAATCGGTCTGCCTAGGCATTGGTAGATGGTTACCCGGTAGTCGTGGTGGTGGGAGGTAGCAGCCTAGCAGGTATTCGGTGGACGTGGAGTAGTCGAGGTGCATGCAAGCTGTACTGGACCCCCACCTTTTTAATAAAAAAATGTTTTCTGCAACAGAAGTTGAAGCAACAAATATGATAAGGGATTCTTGGTATAGTGTTTTCCTTGAATACTAAAGTGTGTTACTACAGAATCCCGAGCGACCTATAGAGTTGCCAGAGAGAACTAGAGCAGCAATCCAGCAAAATGGAGTGGAGCAAGTCGACTATGAGTTGCCTGCTTTCTTAACCAATAAGTTTTACTTGAAGGCACGGAAAGAGGGAGAAAGATTGAAAACGACGAAGCAAGCTGCGTATCACTAGCAACTTCATACTTTTTGGAGAAAATAAATAGCTCATTACAAAGTTCTACATATATGGAGTTAAGGAGAGATCAAAAGTACTAAGAATAAAAGTAGGACGTTCAGTAAAGATAACCTTTATAACAACAGGCACAACTTTGTGAAAACTAACAGGTAACAGCAATCCTCTACGTGCCAATTCAGCCAGCGCCAAACAACCACCATGCCATGAACCATCTCCCTGCAACAGTAGAATACATAATTATGATCCAATCCGAACGAACAAAAAAGAAACATGAAGTGCAAGAGGAACTATTAGCATCGCCGGATGTATCTCCTTAATCAATATTCTGTATGCGGATATAGTGGCTATCTCATAAGATAATAGAAGATCAACTGTCAAGAAACAACTGGGCAACACACCTCGCTAGGCGAAAAGAGCTCCAGAACAGATGAAAGGACTTCATCTGAAAGCAAGTAAGTTAACCGTGAAGTAACACGGCCAATACCTTTTGCAGCAGACCAACGCACAACGGTGTCCTGTAGTACCATTATAAGATCTCTAAGATGAGAAAGTTGCAATGAAAATAATAAATAGTGAAAATGTGTTAAATAAAAGGACGTCCTGCAGCAGTAATATGTTGAAAAAGGAATCAAATTTTGCTTGCATGAGGATACATATACCTGTTTTTAAAATAGTAACTACAGATGAATGCAAAATGAGATCGATTGGCCTGAAAAGAGGTAAATATATGTTCCAGTGTCTGTTCCACAATGTGAGTGACACTAAAAGCTCCTAAAAGTAGGGGTGTGCATTCGATTTATCGATTCGATTTTGATCCTTATCAATAATTACTTATCGATTATCGATTTGTACATATGCTTATCGTTAACGTTTCAATAAGATTTCGATTTTTTCGATTTCGATTTATCGATTTTTGGGGCTTATCGATTCGGTTATCGATTACACCAATAAGTGCGGGATTCCACGGAAAGTATATCGCTATAAACACGCCTAACTTATATGGACCAAAAGAAGCTAAAATAAGACGAACACCGTTTATAACATAAAAATTGTGTCAACAAGCACATGCAACGAAACTAAAGTAAGGGATCAAATGTATGTCACCAACACTCCAACGGTATAAAAAAAAAATACATCATCACGGCTAATTCTATTTTTCATTAATTTGAACTTCATTCCCTTGAGCTTTAAGTATGATCATTCCTTAAAATGTGGTAGATGAAATTATAGGGTTAGGGACTTAGGGTAAAGGAAAGGATATTATAGAATAAGGGTAAAAAATAATAATAATAATAATAATAATTAAAAAAAATTAGAAAAAAAAACTAAATTTTTTTAGTATTTCTTATCGGTTTATCGATAAACCGATAAACCGAAGAGGACAAAATCGAAATCGAAATCGATAACTCGATAAGGAAAATTTCGAAATCGAATTCGAAATCGAAAAATCGATAAACCGATATCGATAAACCTATAACAAATAATCGATTTGATTTATCGATAAATCGATTCGAATGCACACCCCTACCTAAAAGACATAAGCAACTGACACTTTTGACAAGCCGAAACCCCCCTCCCTTCACACACCGAGACACAACCTTAGCATCAAGATATCAAGTTTTCAAATGCAACAGCTCAAAAATAGAGAGAAGAACTTACGTGAATATTCAACTTACACTTATCAAACTTCAACGAAAGAATCGTGGACTTCATACTCAATGAGGAGGAAGTGAAGGAGGATTTACTTTTTAAGAAAAGACATCCCAGGAAAACTGCTATCAACTTGAATTTGTAAAAGGTAAAGATTTACGAGGACAGCCAGATCAGTACATAATGGAAGCTCACCCTTTAGACATACCGTGTCACGCAATCCTGACAGCAGTAATTCAATAATCTCTTCTACTATATCAGGGACATCTATATCTTCTTCTTCCTGACAATTTGAGTCTTGATAGAAGTATGAAGGATCATTGTTTCTAGCGTCATTGAATTGGTCCTTTTTGATTCCATTGGCAGTAATATTCCCTCCAAGTGTGCTGGTTCTTCCCTACATGAAAAAAGCAAGTAATATCACCAACTATTTCTTTCCACATTCCATGGCAAGTAGATCAGTACAGAAGTATTTCCAGTGGAATACCAAAATGTGCAAGAATGAGAAACAAAGACGAATATCCAGCTATCGAATAGAGAGAAGGATGTCACGTCCTTAGTAATTAACTAAGTACACGTGTGGCACTTGACAACTCGCTCACGATCTTGCACATCTTGCTCACGTTCTTGCTATGCCAAGTCAGCCTTACTACACTCAAGATCGCTAAGGGAATGCTAGAAAGAACACAAGAGAATTGCTAAGGAAGCTTTGTATTAAAGAGAACTTGAATTGTTTGCTTGATGAATTACAAATGAATGGCCCCCCTTTATATACTAGTCTCCTAGGGGCTAGTGTGTAAATATTAATTATTACACAAGTCCTTAATATTTACAAGATAAGGGCTTTCTCTAGAATTCACTACAAGCCTAGAAGATTCCAAAGACTTTCCTAGCAAATCCATAAGGATCTAGGTTCTTCCTAAGGAAATGTCCATACTTCTCTAGAATCTTCTCACAAATGCTAGCCTTCCTCTTATGTAAGCTTCCAAATGGCATTAATATATGCCAAATGGCGCCTATGTGGCATGATGACGTGGCTGGTCATCACAAGGAGCTGAGAAATAGGTCTTAACTTTGGTAGACATCAGACCACTGTATTCTTTTTCTTTTTTTTGTGTGTCAAATGAAAGAGAAATGTTGACAAGGATATAGAAGATCAAGAAAGGAGGACAATGTTCAAAATCAAATAAAGATCAGCAGGGAAACATAAAGAAAAAAGGACGCTCCTGACGGATAACTACAAAGACCCTAATCTCCTTATTCCCTATAAATCATCAGCATTTTTCTATTAGAAAGTAGGACAACTTGTTCCCAATGATGATCCTGAACGCAGTTGCTATTTAAATGCACAAAAAAATATTCAAGCAGAGCAACCATCAATTTATAACTTGAAAGAAACACTCAAGCTACATATTTTGCATGATTAGCTATCTAACCACATATCGCCATGCTGGATAACGTGGAGGGAGACAGATCATCCCAATCCTTTGAGTTAGCTTCACAAGGTACTTGCGAAGTAAAGGACTCCGAGATGCAGTGTTGGACTTTAGCAGCGCTGATGTGTCATTCCAAACACCAGGAACCACACTGAGCAGCATTTTAGGGCTTCCATTCTGCACTTAGAGGAAACAATACTGTGCATAAAAAATTAAAAATACTCATATTGAACAAGACTGCAAGATTACCAAATATAACGGGTTACATAACATGTTGAACAATTGTACCACTCCATAGTGAGTACAGCCAAAATGATCCATTATTAAAGATGTTAGACTGCATCTGATGATTGCTCTGTCTTTTCCATTCAACAAAAGGTCTCTAATCATGACACCAGAAGATATATCTGAAAGTTACTGAAACTTAAACCAGGCATTTACTTGATAAAATCCAAATTGAATGTTCCAACCCTGTCCATTTCTTTAAAAAACTGACTGTCAATACACTCTCTGTCTCGGAAAATTCTCAAAAGAAATTTCTCCTGGAAGAGCACCTATAAGGATTTCATGGTCTGAAGGGCAAGGCATGAAAGATGAATGCAGTTTATTCGAATTTGACCATCAGAGGAATGTATACGTTCTAAAGTAGGAACGTATACTTGCAAATTTCTAGCAATCATACATAAAAAACAAAGTATTTCAAAAGAGGACACAAAGAACAAAAGGCGAACCTTGAAAATAGCAGATAGTGCTTCAACTGCACCCAATAACTGGAAATGATTGACAACATCATTTGAAAGACACGTCATAACTTCATGTGTCCAATCCACAAAGCTGAAAACAAAATTGCAGGAAACCAAATATGAATATGGCTAAAGAACTTTGAAACACTTAAATAATTCCCTAAGGAGGTCATCAAGGGCTTTGGTTGAATGGTAAGAATATAGCAAGGAATGTGTGGATTGGGCGCACATCTCAAGTTGAACCCTGACACTGACACGAAGGCTGATATTTAAGGGGGATCAGGACAGGCAGGCTCATACTTCCCCGAGTTTCAGGCCTTTGGGCCAGCTATGAGATAACTCACAGGGGAACTCTCGGTTATTAAGAAAATTCCATAAGGAGGCACAAAAAAATCAACATCCTTACTTTTCTCCGATCTTCAATCTTAAAAGATTTTTATTCTTGTGTTGTTCAAAGAAATAATATTCATGTTCAATATAGAGAAAAATGAAACAGAATGCTTAGCAGGCACCTATGACAATTTGCATTCATAAGGACATGCATTTCATTTGCTGATCAGGCATAGGCCATAGCAGTGAACTGCATGTGTCACGTAACAAGCAAAGTGAAATGCAGTAAATGCTACTCTAGCACGTGTCTCTTCGTTTGCATTAACCAACATAACTGTGCATGCACGAGAATGACCAGAGCATTCATCTACTTTTATGTTTTCTTTTTTCCTTTGTTCGTGTGTGTGTGTGTGTTGGGGGGGGGGGGGGGGGTTAATTTAATATACTTGGCTTCAAATCATCGTGTTATAAATGGAAAAGATTTGGCAGTCGGACCTGGTAAAAGCCTTTGTCATATCGGGGCGTGTTAGAAGCCTTGAAAGCAGCAATCCAGCCATGGTTCGCATAGGACCTGCACTTGAAAGGTAGTCTTTAGAGAATTCTAAGATTCTTAGTACAAGTGGAGGTGGCTCATCACTTCCAGTGTAGTTATTATCTGCAACACTAGTATCCACAGAAGATATATCAAACGGGATCAATACAAGAATATAAAGCCATAATAGCATCACGCATTTAGCCTCCATCTCTCCAGTACTTTCTTGTCTTAATGATGTTACAGCTTGTGTATTATGGCATTTCTCCAGGAGAGATACTGCAAGCTCCAGGTGAGAGACCTGATGAGGGAAGAACTTGACAACACCCTTGTAGCCACAAACCGTCACCAGAGAATAGATAATAATACATATAGGCTTGATTACTTCAAGAATTTCTTCCGGGGCAGCACCCAGTTCGACAGCTTTTGAACGGACAATGGACATGAGAGGTGAAACCATACTCTCGAGGTAAGGCTCAAGTAATTGACCTTGCTCCTGATATTTGTCCATCTGCAAATCATATATGTTTAATAGTCAAACAAAGAATTAATGTATTACCCAAAGAAAAAAAGATGGAGTAACTATTGTTAAACTTCCACTAGTTATAAGGAATTGATGTTTTTAAAGCAAAATTCAAGTACACTATTAAGGTTTTTGGGCTTTGGCATCATCAGAAATTTACTCACCAAAGTTATATTTTACTGGTATATTCAATTACAAATATAGCATTGAGCTAATAGTTATGCAGAGGAAAGACATGAGAGAGAGAGAGAGAGAGAGAGAGAGAGAGAGAGAGAGAGAGAGAGAGAGAGAGAGAGAGAGAGAGAGAGTACGATAGATCGGATCTTGTGCACAGAAGAGATGTCGGAGACACGGCCATTGGAAATAATATCGTCGAGGAGTGATTTGACAAGCTTCCATTCCTGAAGGAAATATCTCTGCACAACGCTCTCTTTAGAATCGTGTTCATCGTCTAATTCAACTTTGCTTACTGCCTCCATTTTCAAATTTTCCTCCATCTTTGAGCCTTTCTTCTACTTCCCTAACCCAACAGAGACGCTGATTAATTTGATTTGATTTTGCCTCTGGTATTTGGTATTTGCCGGACTGAGAGATTACTTCATCTGTTTGAAAGCAATTATTAGCGTCGGAGTAAGCTGATGGGTCAAACTTCTTAGACGGCCCAAATTGAATTGCTGTCCAGCCCATAATTTTGGCTCTAAAATTTTAGGGTGAAATTCAAAAAGGGAAATTTTCGCTCCTATACCATATAGGAAACTATATTACCAAATATATTCATAGTTTGCATATTACCCTTCATGCTAATTGTATTTCTACAAAATATAGACCATGCATTAAATAAGGAATCATTGTAGCTGTAGACTTCCTTATTTAGGCGCTAAAATTGGGGGTTTAAATATTCTTCCAAATCTTCCAAACGCAAATCACGCACATTAATCTTCTTCATCAGTTTCGTTTCAAATTTAGTGTCTCTACATTAAACGCAATTATTCTTCTACAATTCAAAAACGAATTGATTATTCTTCTACGATTCACAAATCAAAAACGACTAAATCTTCTACAGTTCTTCTACATCAAACGCAATTATGTCCAAATTTCAGTAATACAAAGCAAAGGAAAAGAGAGCAGCAATTCCACCATTGACAGCCATTAAAAAGCTTGAAAGCTTTGAATACAAATTTGAGTTTTCAAAAATCATTATTTGTTTGGATTGGGTGTTGTTGAAAATAATTGGGAATATGGTTTGGAGTTTATATCTCAATTTTGAGGGGTTTTGTGAAGATTAGACTTGGTTTTGACTGAATTTCAGACTGAAACTCGAAGAAGGAGAAGAAGAAGAAGACGTATATTGTAGAAATTGTAGAAAAATTATAGATAAATTGAAGAACAATTGTAGACTGTTGTTTATTTATTTTTCTTTTATTCATTTACTTATTGTATGAAAGTTGAACAACATTGTATAAAAATTATATTAAATGGATGATTTAGTACTGTTTTGGACAAAAATATGTATCAAAAATGTGAAACATACATTTCAGGGGAAGCATGTTGAGTCCAAATATGTACCCAGTTTGTAGATATTTTGTAGATAAATTGTAGATTATTTGTATTCTGATTGTAGATGTTTTATTTTCTGTTTTCACAAATAAAAAAACGACTAAAACTTCTACGAATCTTTTGAAAAAAACGCAATTATGTCAAAAATCCCAATTATGCTACAATTGAATGGGAATTGGGATATTAAAATTCAATGTACCCGGTTTGTAGATATTTTGTAGATAAATTGTAGATTATTTGTATTCTGATTGTAGATGCTTTGTTTTCTGTTTTCACAAATCAAAAACGACTAAAACTTCTACAAATCTTCTGCAAAAAGCGCAATTACAATGTACCCAGTTTGTAGATATTTTGTCTATAAATTGTAGATTATTTGTATTCTGATTGTAGATGCTTTGTTTTCTGTTTTCATAAATAAAAAACGACTAAAACTTCTACAAATCTTCTGCCAAACGCAATTATGTCGAAAATTCCGATTATGCTATAATTCTGTGATTCTCCTATATGCTCTTATTACTCCTTACGAAACTGCTATGCTAAATATGGAATCCAAAAAAAATTGATGAAGGGATAGATCTTCTTAAGAAATTTTGTAGATAATTTATAGAAACATTGAAATTCTGTATTTTCATATTAATTTTTCAAATGATATGTAGTTTTGTTGTAGATTAAATGTAGAAAATAAGCCATTATGAGTCTTATTTGACTCATTCCTCACATTCAACCTATTCTACAAATTCACGCCTCTTTAAATACAATACAACCATACTTTCTTGAATTTAAAGTTTTAGCAATATATATAACTTAAAAAACATCTTCTCCTTTGCACAAGTTAGCTCCAAAACAGACGAAGTGGAATAACAAGCTCCCATCAAAACTTTTAACACAAAAACACAAAGCTCAAAAATAAATAAACAACAGTCTACAATTTTTCTACAATTTATCTACAATTTTTCTACAATTTATGCAATATATGTCTTCTTCTTCTTCTTCGAATTTCAATCTGAAATTCAGCCAAAACCAAGTCTAATCTTCACCAAAACCCCTCAAAATTGAGATATAAACTTCAAACCATATTCTCAATTATTTACAACAACACCCAATCCAAACAAATAATGATTTTTGAAAACCCAAATTTGAATTCAAAGCTTCAAAGCTTTTTAATGGCTGCCAATGGTGGAATTGCTGCTCTCTTTTCCTTTCCTATTATATTACTGAAGGAACCCGAAATCATAACCATCAAAAGTTATTGCTGTGTATGAAACTTTGAAGATTTGACTTCAATTTTGACTGGTTGTAGAAGAAAAAACCTTGATTTTGGACGTTAATGGTAGAGGGTTTCAATTGTTTTTCTGGATTTAGCAGAGGGTTTCAATTGTTTTTCTGGTTTTCCTGGTTTCTAGGTGTGTGGTGATACGTGGGTGAGGGTGTGGGGTTGGGAGAGAGAAATGTGGGGGGATGGGGATTTGGAGGAATATACGGTACCATAAATTTAGGAGTGATATAAGGTACAATTAATCTACAGTTAAAACACCTTATGGTATAGAATTGGTGATTAGGTATACTAAATGTAATTATATCAAACCTTAAACATTAAGGGTAATATAGTTTCCTATATATGGCATAGGAATGTAAAAATTCCATTCAAAAATAGCCAGATTTACAACTGGTAGTTCAAAAATAGCCCAGTTTTAAAAGTAATCGAAATTTAGCCACTTTTCATATAAAGAAAAATCTGAGCGAAAACACTGTTCAAAACCCGGAAAATACGCCAGTATATTATGCTGGAATTCTAGCATAACTATACTTGAACTCCAGCATATTATACTGGAGTTCCAAGATAAGTATGCTGGAACTCCAGCATAATATGATGGAGTTCCAACATAAGTACACTAGAACCCCAGCATAATATACTGGAGTTCCAGCAAGTATACCGGTTCAACATAATATACTGGAGTTTGGAGCACTGGTGCTCCAGTCTCCAGTATATTATACTGGAGCCAGCAAAGTGTTGGAGTTCCAGCATAATATGCTGGAAGTTCATACACAGGTGCACCAAACTCCAGTATATTATGCTGGACCGGTCTCTGTTGCAGCAAAATAATTGCTATTTTTCATTGACTTGGTAAACGCTGGCTATTTTTGAATGACCAGTCCGAAAACTGGCTAGACCGTGCTATTTTAACGAATTTTAATAGTCCAAGCAGCTTAGAATTGTTAAAATAGCACGGGCTAGCCAGTTTTCGAACCAGCCATTCAAAATAGCTAGCGTTTGCCAAGTCATTGGAAAATAGCCACTATTTTGCTGCAACAGAGACCGGTCCAGCATAATATACTGGAGTTCGGTGCACCTATGTATGAACTTCCAGCATATTATGCTGAACCGGTATACTTTAATATAGTGGAGTTCTAGTATACTTTGCCGGAACTCCAGTATATATATTATACTTTGCTGGAACTCCAAACTCCAGTATAATATAGTGGAGTTCTAGTATACTTTGCTGGAAAATATATTGGAGTTCCAATATATTATACTGAAATTTCAGTATATTATGCTGGAGTATTTTCCAGATTTTGAACAGTTTTTTCGTTCAGATTTATCTTTACATGAAAAGTGGCTAAATTTCGATGACTTTTGAAACTGTGGCTATTTTTGAATGACCACTTGTAAATCTGGCTATTTTTGAATTTCTCCCCTTAGAATTATATTTCGGGAAAAATACAGAATTGGCCGGTCAGTTGATAATCAATCTATTCGCTAGTCAAAAAGTATATAGATTAAGTATATATACAAACTATATAATTTTATCGATTATTTTTTTTTTAAACGGCTAAAAACGCACATTTCTCTTATATTATTTTCTTTAATACTCTTTTTGTCCAAAAATATTCTTTAATAAAAATTTAAAATTTTGTGTAATAACCGTGGCACATATGTACCATCTAGGTGTTTGCATCGGTCACCATATGTACCATGTGTCAAGAGTATGTCTCGGTCTCGTAGAACAATTGAACAAAGCTAAAGACCTCTAACAAAAGATTGTCACTTAACCAATCAAAATTATTTCTTTTCTTTTACATGATACATATACAAAATATCATTTGCACAATTCATGATCTTACTTATGTTTACAAATATATGCTATGTATACAACACCAAGACATAAATTAAAGTTCACATCACAACTAGCTAAAACAGTACTCTCATGTACGAAGATTAATATGTGGAAACCTTTTAAGGCTCATTTTTCCCATAGCTACCACCATTAGAATTAGCCTTATGCCAAGCTGCAAATCCATTAAACAAGGCTAAAGTATTGCTAGTAACTTGAGCAACATTAAGAACCCTAGCTTTAATTGTAGCCATCACCTTACCACCCATACTATAACCAGAAAACCCATCCATGCAAATATATGTATCAGTCAAGACTGTACTAAGCCAAGTCTGGACATTGCTTTGACACCATACAAAATCTCCTTCTGCGTCTGCACTCTCCATACGTTGAAGCTCTTTAAATGAATTTGTGAGCTGAGAAACACTATCAGACATTTGATCTAAACAATCTTCCACGGCTTGATATTCCTTGGCTTTGTTTTGTTTGAGTTCATTGGACACTTTTCTCAAGTAGATTTTTGTGTATACTGCCTTAACTATGCTTACTTTCAAAGCAACTTGAGCTATTTCTTGTGGATCTTGTGATGTTGGATTTACATGGTTTGCTAGAGATCTCTCACATAGATCTGGATAACGAGTGCGCCTACACTGTAACTCTATGAACTTAGGCACAATAGCACCCTCAACAACAAAGGTAGAGATGATGAGAAGTAAAATCAGGGAAAGGACAAGTTTTGCCATTTTGTGAGAAATATATATAACAATGGGAAATGCTTAAGCTTTTAGAGTATGAAGAGTGAATGGTTTTTTGCTGTGTTTATTTGATGGGAAATTGTTAAAAGGGTGCTAAGGTTTATATAGAAGAGCTATCACATGCATGAGCATGAGAAGTTTAGTACACTAGCTCGTTCTTGCTTACTAAATAATTTTTCTCTTTAAGTCATATTTTTGGAATTGATTAATTACAGTTGCAAGTAGTATTCGAAAACAAGGTGCTGATGTTGGGGGTCTAGTGAACACAAACCTTAATTCTTGTCTGAGCAATTTCGTAATTACGTAACTTATTATTGTGTGATTGCTTTGACACCGAAAAAGTTAGGAAAGAGTGTCTCTTAAATCATCTATTTTCTCCTTTGGTAAAACAGTGGTTTCTTTTTTCATTTCTTTAAGGTACAAAAGTCACAAGTTATTTATATTTTACAGGATATCTAAATTTGAGCTTTTGATATGTAACAGTGTTTTAAAAGGCTTTTCTGAGACTCGCCTCGTCCCGGGGTGGGGCAGTATCAAAACGCCTTGAGACTCATGTGTGGGGCTTAGTTATGTGAGGCTTACGCTCCCAAACGTCCGACGGTGCGTCCTAAACACGCCTAATGCTCAGCGCTCGGGACTCGCCCAACAGTTCCTATGCAAATGATCATGTGCTGAATTACTAATTTGCACTGTTAACTCTCAAAATTCTTTAACAAATAAATGATTAAAGTTCTTTTTATCTATAGAAATATGAAAATTATAAATAACTCAAATAACGAACTATATTATTGCATATTTACTAATTGAAAACATCATGAGGATGAATATCATTTGAATATTTCTTCTAAAAATAGATATCGAAAATTTATATCTTTACTCGATAGAACTTCATGTATTAGTTCTATGTCTCTCAAAAATTATCATACATTTCTTATTTTACTATTTAAAAATAACTTTATATTTACTCATGAAGGAGTAATATTTTAAATTATATTATTGATAAAATTTATTGTGTATTTACTTTTAAAAAGTTAAAATATGCAATTTGATAATATTTTTTAAAAAATTATAATTTTTAATTGTTTGAAAGTTAAGAGATTGGAGTTAATTTATATTTTATAGTAAGTTTAGCAGTATTGTATTATTTGTACTTGTAAAACATGCTAAATATTTTATTTTATATGAGTTTTTTTTTAATTATTTTTAGTTTTCTTGAACTTTTAATGTATCTTTTATATTTTTATTGTGTTATAATGTTATATTAATTCATAAATTTAAAAAATTAAAGATATGTGGGGCTTACACCCAATATGTCGAGGCTTTTGCCTCGCCCCGCATTAAGTAAAACGCCCCGCCTCACGCCCTCGCCTTTTAAAACACTGATGTGTAACGCTTCAATACTTCAAAGCTAAGACAGTAAAAGAATTACTATAAGGTAGTGAGAAAGGTTATTGGAGATTGCTTGACCAACATAATACTGGGATTTTCGGGCATTGCATTCTGTAACAATAAAGCTAGATCTCGAAGTATTACACAAAGTGTAGAGACTAGAGAATGTAAATCACGTAATCATATATACTATAGTAAATTGCAATTGAAGCCTATGATTCTTTAGGTGATTTTTAAGAAATTTCAAATTACTGATTAAATCTTCTTGATTATTTCGATTGAAGAAACACACTACTTGGAAGAAGGGACCTTTTCTTAAAATTCAACCACTTCAAGTAAATAAACTATTATCGTTTAACAACAGCAACAAACCCAGTGTAATTCTATACGTGGGATCTGGGGAGGTACTGTATATGCAGACCTTACCCCTACCTTATAAAGGTAGAGAGATTATTTCCGATAGACACTCGGCTCAAGAAATAGTAAAACAAAGCAAATTATTATCGTTTAGTATCCATTAATTATAATCATTATATACAGGCAGGGGCGGATGTAGAGCATGAAATACGGGTTCCCGGGAACCCAGTAACTCTTGCGTAAACTCTGTATTTATATTAAAAAATTCACTAAATATTTGTAAATATCTAACTGTGAACCCAATTATTATTGCATATTAATTTGAAATTACGGTAGGAACCCATAAGTCTCAAATTCTGGATCCGCCTCTGTATACAGGGTCATTATTGCCATATATATTAATCCCAACGTTATCAATTACTCGTATAACTAGTAGAAACAGGTGTATCTCAATGTCTTTCCAGGAAAAAACTACAATCATAATAAACAAAAAAGAAATAACCAAAATTCGTGAAAGTGAAGTGCCAGAATAGCAAAATAGAGCAAAGTAGCAAACAAGCTTGTTGGAGTGAATGGGAGCTAATTACAGAACTCAAGTCAATATACTGAGAAAATGAACAAGTAAAAGACAAAGGGCTATTTTTTCTCTTTATCATAAAGCTTTTCTAAGAAAGAAAGAGCTTAGTTCATAAAAATTTGGTTTGAAATAATAGTTTTTTCGAAATATGATGGCAAAATGTGACGGGTGTAATGTCACATGCGTTCGAATTTGACTATGATTCGTGTAACGTGTGCCATATGCACTAATCCCCCCAAAAGACCGTAGTATTCGTAATTATAATTTAATTGGTTTTACACGTGCAAGTAGCTTCCAGGAACCGAGAGTTAAGGTTGGGTATAGTAAAGACAAAACCTTAATTCTTGTTAGAGTCATTTACAAACTTAAGTAACATTCCTAGTTGCTCAACAAGTAGATCATTTTTAAGTACATGCTATCATAATTCATTTGATTTATTATATTTAAAATCTATTTTAATATTAACATAAAGCCAAAATTATTGATAAGAGTGTACATGGACCGGGTTGATTCGGTTTTTATCAAAACCAAACCAAACCAACTACTATATCAATTTTGATTGGTTTGGTTTTGTCGGATTTTTCTATTACATGAATAATATTTCAATATTATTTTGTTAATTTTTTATAAGCAAATATATGTTTAATAAAAATTAAAAAAATTGACAAACATATTATTAAAATATTCTTATGGGAAAATTTTCTTAGTAACACACGATAGTTATATTTTAGCCACCTGACAATAATTTTTCGTTGATTGTAACGACCCGGCCGGTCGTTTCGTGAGTTATAGCCCCGTTTCCTCCATTTTTGCTTCCTTTTGCATTCCTCAGCTGTATTTCATCGTATCGTGTTGGTTGGTTCAGGTCCGGAGTGGTTTCGGGGTAGAATGAGACACTTAGTCTCCTATTTAGAAGCTAAAGTTGGAAAAGTCAACTGGATGTTGACTTATGAGTAAACGACATCGGATTTGGATTATTATGATTCGATTAGCTCCGTTAGGTGATTTTGGACTTGGGAGCTCATCCGGAATGTAATTTGGAGGTCCGTGGTATATTTAGGCTTGAATTGGCGAAATTAGAAATCTGGCGATTTTTGGTCGGCAACGGAAAATTTGATATCGGGGTCGGAATGGAATTACGGAAGTTGGAGCAGGTTCATAGTGCCATTTGTGACGTGTGTGCAAAATTTCAGGTCATTCGGAGGTGATTTGGTAGGTTTCGGCGTAATTTGCAGAATTTGGAAGTTTAGAAAGCTTCGACTAAGTTCGTATGTTGATATGTGACTTGTTGGTATTATTGGTTGAGGTTTCGAGGGCCTCGGGATGACTTCAGATGGTTAACAGAGAGTTTGGAACTTGAAAAATGCAGCTGAATCTGCTGGTTCTATGTTAACCGCACCTGCGGAGTGGGGACCGCAGGTGCGAGGTCACAGGTGCGGTGGGGTAGCCGCAGATGCGGAAATGGAGGGACAGGAGAGGAGTCACAGATGCGGAGGATTTATCGCATTTGCGGGCCCGCAGGTGCGAGTTGTTGGCCGCAGATGCGGATTTTGAGGAGTAAGTGGAATCCGCACCTGCGATGGTTTTTCCGCATGTGCGGCGTCGCAGAAGCGGGTATTTTGACTGCAAATGCGGTTTTGCTGGGCAGAACCTATAAATTGAACCCTTCGCGAATTTTGCTCATTTTCCACCATTTTTGAAGACGGGTTTGGAGCTTTTGGGGTGATTTTGAAGAGGGATTCAAGGGATTATCACTGAGGTAAGTTGCTTAAGCCCTAATACTTGTATATGTGGTGATATCCCGTTGTTTAATCATGTAATTAGTGAAGATTAGGGGTAAAAATGAGGGGTTAGGGCTTGAGAGTTGAAGAGTTTGATTTGAGGATTTGAGCAACTATTTGATGTCGGATTTTGATGAATTTGGTATGGGTAGACTCGTGAGTGAATGAGCTTTCTAGTTTTGTGAGTCGAATTCCGAGACGTGGGCTCGGGGGCCGAGTTTGAGTGGATTTCGGGATTTGTGTCTTATTTGATAGTTTTTCTTGTGGAATTCATTCCATTAGCGCATATTGACAGTATTGTTCTGGTTGTGAATAGATTCGGAACGATTGGAGGCCGAGTCGACGGGCAAGAGTATCGCGGAGTAGAGATTTGATCGGCTTGAGGTAAGTAGCGATTGTAAATCTAGTCCTGAGGGTATGAAACCCCGGATTTCATATCGTTTTACTACTTTTGAGGTGACGCACATGCTAGGTGACGGGCGTGCGGGCGTGCACCGTTGGGGATTGTGACTTGGTCCGTCCCGTAACAACTGTAAAGTTGCGTATTTGGTTGAAAATATATGATACTTGTGTGTTTTAGAAAGAGTTTCTATTAATTAGGCTGAATGCCATGTTTAGGCTTTGTGCCAGAGCTGTTTGGACCCTTAGGGGCCTTTTTCTTACTATCCTCCACTGTTTTCGATTGAAAAGCTATACTCAGTCATGTTTTTACTTATTGACTTTCATAACTCAGTCTTTATTGCTCTGTTTTGATGCACATAAATGTTGTTTTGGGCTGAGTACCCTGTTTTCACTGAGAGCCCGAGTGGCTTGAGAGGCTCATGACTGAGTGAGGCCGAGGGCCTAATTTGTGAGGGTATTTATGGGATCGGGCTGCACGCCGCATCATGTTTTACTGATTATGAGGCCGAGGGCCTGATTGATCTACGCCAGGAGTTGGTTTGTCATAGCGTTTGGGCTGAAGG